ACCCCCACCCCACTGTCGAGTCTGCCCACACCTTTCTTCTCTTCCTTGTGATTTTATTTATTTGGATCTCCACTAGGAGTTTATTTTCTGCTTCAGAAAAATTCAAATCAACGCCTCGGAAACAACAACACAAATGCAACCGGATGTGTTGATTTGTTCAGTCCACGCGCACGGGGAGAAGACTGGAGGTGCGTCGAAACTTCTTATATCGCGTAAACGGCATCCGCCGTCCGTGTGCGCCATTCTGGGGCTTCTATGCATCACTTTTACGAGGCACTAATTTCATTTGAGGGGTCCTCTCGGGTCACTAATGTGCGTGTTTGCCGCGCAGTTCGCACTCTGTCAAGGCTCCTGTCATAAAATGTGGCCGTGCGCATTAAAAAAAAAAAGGTGGACGTGACACTGAGTGCACTGGAAATAAATCTGCAAAAACAGCCACTGTTATACACAAACAGGACAAATAAATGTACACAAAACTTTTTTTCCCCCTCCCAGTGGGTCCGCAATAAGCTAATTTCCATACGGCTCGGCTTTGAGCGTATATCTGAAATTTATTTTAAACGCTTCATAAGGTACTTATGGACTATTTAATAAGCTCCAGTAAAGCTGTGTTAAAAAATGTTGCTTTTATAAAGATAATATTCACTTTTGATTTACACCAACACACATTCAACCATAAGCACAGCAGAATGAGGTCATTAAAATGTGTTACATGTACCACGCGTGTTATTTTTGCAGTTTCAGTTTAAATTGGGCCTCTCGTCAAGCTAAACCAGGCATCCAAAATCATCGGAACAGCTATCAAAGCTGATGACCGCCGTTCAGCGAACACGGTGTCAGTCAAAACTGAGCAGGATTGTCTTTGCGTTCCTAGTATCGGATCTCATTTGACCTTGCAGGTGTACCTAATGAAGTGGCACAGGCTGAGCACCGCAATATCACATCATCATTGCGCGCATCGCGTCGATATTATATCATTTACAGTAAATCGCCAACGTCTGCTGTATATCCTGCAGCCAAAAGACAAACATTTTCTCATTTGTTTCAATAATTGGCAAAACTGCTAAATCACTGCGCTGTGCAATATGCACTTCCAAAGTAACTTTGTGCAAGTTGCATATGCAAATGAGTCATGACAACTTGCTCAACAGAGTTAAAACAAAGCAGGAGGCTGCCGGGGTCTCGGGATGACGCCTCTGTGCGCAAATTGGAACTGAATTAACGAGCACCATTGACTCTGCGGAACGAACAAGCTCAGCCATCCCCACCCACCCCCACAAACTCCCTCCCCACGCACTCATCAAGGCAACCCCGGTAAAGGTTAACTCCTTCACCCTCGTCAAGTTCACAACACGGCGGCCTCGGCAGTGCAACGTCTCAATCCACAGTGATTTTTTTTTTTTATGGCTGGGGCGTGAACATCCTGATATCTAATCGGAGAGGAAGAACATATGTTGGCATTAAGACACCTTCTGTTGCTGCGTTATTGCGCTCCCCAAGGCAGGCCGGGGGGGCTGCAAAGGCACTTCAGTTACACAGACACACGTTGCACGTATCTCTAGAGGACCACGCAATGGTAATAAAGTAGAAACTGTTCGTCTTTTGTCTGTCCTTTCGCGCTTAACTACGGTGGGGGCAGCGTAATGTAGACATGGAGAAACACAACCGACTCAGTAAGCTACTGTAGTCTTTTTTTTTTTTTTTGCAAAGGAGAAATAATATATGCCTGTGAAGAATATTTATATTGTTTGTCTACATGCGTTGCTCCACCATTTGTGCTCAAATATCTGCATCACTACTACCACCGCTATTCATCAGCCTGACTACGGAAGTCGAAAGAGTGTGACATCACATGCCTAAAATGCAATCCATGCCTTGCTTGGGGGACCTAATTTCTGGGTGGCACATTCAAGTACGCTACACTTCCCTCTCCTCTGGCATGCATGTAAGAGATGGACCAATGTCTGACAATATCAAAGTGGCAGACCAAATATATGAAGTAAAATATTTGGAAACACAACCGACTCAGTAAGCTACTGTAGTCATTTTTGTTTTTTTTGTTTTTTTGCAAAGGATAAATAATATATGCCTGTGAAGAATATTTATATTGTTCGTCTACATGCGTTGCTCCACCATTTGTGCTCAAATATCTGCATCACTACTACCACCGCTATTCATCAGCCTGACTACGGAAGTCGAAAGAGTGTGACATCACATGCCTAAAATGCAATCCATGCCTTGCTTGGGGGACCTAATTTCTGGGTGGCACATTCAAGTACGCTACACTTCCCTCTCCTCTGGCATGCATGTAAGAGATGGACCAATGTCTGACAATATCAAAGTGGCAGACAAAATATATGAAGTGAAATATTTGAAGACAGTTGCAAAGTCTGAGAAATAAACAGTACTGTACTCAATTGTGGAGATACTGCATTCAAATTATTTTTCAACATCTGATTTTCCGATTTTTGTGGGGGAGTGGCTAAATCAATGCCAATTGACAGACTTGGATGTCCAGCATTCGTTACCCCTATCTTGCTATTGAAGAACTTGAGCTGCACAGTCAGGGGACATTATTCCCCAAACAATGAGCGTACATGTGCTTGTGCGCTTATGTCATGATTGGAGCCCAATTGTGGAGAGGAAGACTGTAAAATGTTTTCTTTGACTTGGCAAAAGTGAATTCCAAATTTGAACTTCAGAACACACAAAACAGTGTTCACAACAAATATATGAAGTAAAATATTTGAAAATAGTTGCAAAGTCTGAGAAATAAACAATACTGTACTCATTTGTGGAGATATTGCATTCAATTATTTTTCCAACATCTGATTTTCCGATTTTTGAGGGGGAGTGGCTAAATCAATGCCAATTGACAGACTTGGACGTCCAGCATTCGTCACCCCGATCTTGCTATTGAAGAACTTGAGCCGCACAGTCAGGGGACATTATTCCCCAAACAATGAGCGTACATGTGCTTGTGCGCTTATTTCATGATTGTAGCCCAATTGTGGAGAGGAAGACTGTAGTGGATCTCTAAAATGTTCTCTTTGACTTGGCAAAAGTGAATTCCAGATTTGAACTTCAGAACACACAAAACAGTGTTCACAATAGCAAAATCCATCAAAGAACCCATCAAAATCCACATCGACCAAGCGAGTCAGTTCGGGAAAACAACATAAGCATTTTTTATGGAGTAGTAGAAGCTGGTCTTCGGTTGTGATATGACGGTGGCCTCTCAAGAGGCTTTCGGGTTGAACATCTGGTGCTGACTGTTTCTAAATGTTGGGCCACATGAGCGAATGGAGCGCTGGGTGTCCAGGTGGAGCGTGTGCAGTGGCACCAGAGCCTTCCTCAGCTCATTAAGGCAGCAGAAAGCCGCACTGTGCACTGGGACAAGAAGAGGGAGCGCACAGACGATACAGTTCCACTATTTTATCATCTTTGGACTGCAGCGGGGTGGCGAGGTTGGCATGCCCTGCAGTGCTGTTTCACCCCAGCAAAGTGCTGCGCCCACACCTTTCCCAGACGCGTCAAACATCGACGCAACATTCAAAAGCTTACTTTCAGCCATCTGAGAAAACCGCGGCATTGTCCCCGTCACTTTTCGCTCCAGCTTCCTGGGAGATAAACAAAGCTATTTTCAGCACAGCCAATTTCTTCCCCTCCTCTTCCGCCTCGCCATCTTTCGATTCCTCCGGCGCCCGTTCTTTGACTCCGAACCTTCCGAGGAATCCTAAATCGATGCTCTGCTTTGATTTGGGGGGAAAAAAAAAAAGTCTGGAAGGGTGCGAGTCGGAGTGACGGCGACGACTAAAGCGAAAAAAAAAAAAAGAGAACAAGTCACCCAGTCAACTTAATTGTAATTAAAAGGCATGCGAGCAAGATCCAGGATGTGTTTGCACTTCCTCTCTCCACCCCAACCCCCTTCTTAATATTGTTATTAATCCACAAAAACACTTTCAGACTTAATTAAAAGCAACGACTGGGGCGTCTGCCCCTCCAGAGGGCCGTAGTGAATAATCACTGTCTCCTCCTTTAATAAGCTTCAACGTCCTTCGTGCACATGACGCTTCCCTCGCAATTATCGCCGCAGTCTCCCTCTTGCGTTTGCGCGTGGCCTCCCTGCACTCGCGCACACTCCAACTGCGCGCTGTCCTCCATCTCTCCTTTACACGAGCTCAACTCTTAGAGTGCTTTCCACTCCACAAAAAAAAAAAAAAAAAAAACCTACACTGACAAATGATATCATCATGATGCATCCT